ATTTACATTCTGGTGTACACCAAAAGCGGCAGTAACGACAATAAAGTTGCACATATTGCATGCTCAGACCTTGTAAAACAGAGACTGGAGAAGATAAGGAACGACTAGCTTATACACATTACTTTAAAGACGGTAGGGAAATAAAGGTTTTCCTTATGGTCTTTAAGTCAACCCGCGTCACTCAGACCAAAGGGAATTTATCAGTGCTGGAGATTGGATGACGTACACCTTCTCACAAAGACATAGCGACTTCCTGAGTGCTGTAAGTCTCATTCACAGGGCGTCCTCAATCATCCGCTCACAGTCTACCAAGAAGCCGTCAACTAACTTCCTTTCATGCACAAGTGCAAAAAACGGGTTTGTCAGCCCATCCTTGTAGACACAATCAGATCTGTTTTGCAGCCGTTCGGTGTAAAAGCCCCAGAGACCGTACACTTGCAGTCGGCGTCTTAAATTTCTGCCGCCAGAACTTACACATGGCATACTGCGTTTTCCCACCGAAGATGTCGCAAGAAGACTCGTCTTAGGACTTCAAAAATGCCACCGTCATGTATAAATAAAAGCACAACGTGGGCTGACAACTGTTATTAACAACCAGATATTTCTCTGTCTCACTCAGTCGTCTGAACATGTATCTGGATCGGGACGTCTTTACATACGAGATTTACTCCCCGAAGCACCGATAAAATCACCGCGGACCGTCAACTGGAATAAAGATGCCATGAAATGATTACCAACCTCCATACCACCTTCGTTAGATTGACGAAGTCTTTCGACAGACCGAATACTGTGGATTTCGGGTAGGCATAAGTAAATTCATATGTTCCTGGAAATTCTGAGGAATGACATGAGAGCTGTCGACGAAGAATGCGGCTGTCACGGATGCTATCACGATAACAAAAGGTTGAAGCAGGAGTTTGCCCTCATTTCTACCCTACTCGACCTCATGTCCTACTCTATGTTGATTGACGCGTTTGACATCGACTACCGGACCAGCAGAAAGCTGCTTGACATCCGTCACATATGAGCGTCTTCGTGAGTCCTTAATTTCGGCAAATGACTGCGTGCTTAAGTCCGCAACGAAAGAGATCACACAGAGACGCGATTGATTACTAGCCATCATCTTTGGCCTGATCGTCTGCATGCAGAAAATATAATTATGCACTAACTGCCCCCATGTATGAATCTCACCGGATCTCAAAGTAATGCCATTGAGAATAATCTCACAGTAGTGGGAAAATGTAATAACTTTTGAAATTCTAGTTCAAGAATCTCTCAGCCCTAATACGAACAACCAAGTTGCATCTCCCAAAGCCAACGAAACCTCTGGCGGGCCACAACACTTCGCCTAGAATGGTTTTTAGCTTAAAGCTGACGATTTGCCGCACTGTTGTCTGATAAAGCTCCTCTAGATGTGAATACGTCCACCGTTTATGAGTTTAAAGCACGAAAAGTCGACCATTTTTGACTCATAGAGCCGTAGAATTATAGCTGCGAAGAAGCAGAAAAGGATCTCCGACAGTGAAATTCTGGAAAGTAGCCAACATCTTTAGTTTCCACGACATTCTGAGACAGATGCACCTGCAACAAATGATCACATCGTGAGAATGGATGACAAACACATGCCCAAGCGGCTATTTCACGCTGATGTGTCTAGAGGTGGTTCCGGAGAAGGCCTACAATGACGTCCTTACAAGGACATCAAGATGAACTCTATAACGCACCTGCAAATCAATCCGGGGACCTGGGGCGCAATGTTGCTGACAAAGAAGAAGCCATCTTTGGAGTTGACCGGCGATCCGTCATCAAGACAGATATTACTGAACAATAATGCTTAAATAAGAAACACGTTGTCGTATCCCACTAGTAATCGGCCATTCTCGGCAAGGATGGGTGCTGTCAGAAATGTTTAATCCAAAAACGATTATACCACGACCAAACCGCTTTTCATTTTATCAGCATAGAGGACAGTTTTACCATCAACCAAAACTTCCTCGCCATTGCCCCCACCAGTAGCAATCCGACCTTCATTTTAATCTGTGCTTACATCGTCATACCTTTGTATTTCGCATGGGTCTGATCCATTGCTTACGAATCCGTCGGATGAACAACGACAAACCAGTCACCCAACCCCCCCCCCCTGGCCCACATTCGCAGAACATTCAGACACCATATGGGTCTATTTGGCTATGGGACAGCTGGGTACTTCATGAGGACAACTTTAAAGATTTATGCTAGGTGATATTAAATCGAGGACCTGTCCTTTGCAGTGCGCTGTTATTTGGATAACTTGATGAAAACTGAATGAGATGGAAGACAGTCACAACCTTAAGCCTAAAGAGCCTCATTTACCCTGGATGCGGCAGTTGAAAGCAGTATTCAGGGCACAGGACTTTCGAAAACAGCAACTGGTAATTCCCAAATTTCACAATCTTAAGTGACAGGCGGCAGAACTCTAACGTACAGCAAGAGGGTATATCCTAATTTGTGCAGCTATATTTTCTAGTTATGTCAGTAGCCAAGAACTACAACGAGTACTTTCGTAAAATTAATAGGATAACGTTTAACATTCTGAAAGCGTCATATAAAAAGTCAAACTGCAACTATACTCTCAACTCCAACGCGTAAGGCATACGAGGTATGTTAAGGAACTCAACACCGTTAACATTATTTACCCTTTTGTGAGCCTGTTATGCAAAGAGGTACTTCGGGAATGCAATAAGGAGCCGTCCACTCGAGGTGATTCTCACTTGCAAAGAGAGTAGGAGTATTTATAGAGGAAAAGCTCGTCATGCAATCTGCACATGCTGAGGCGACTGGGAACATTGTGTAGGCCACGTAAATAAGTAGTTGTTTTAAGGTTTTTTGCTCTATGTAGTTTTATTTGATGATGATATGCGCAAAAGTTCTAAAAAATATCATGTATGAAAAAGGTCGACGTATTTTGGGTGACACGCAAATTATGGGGGTTTCATAAGGCATTAATTATTTTTAGTAAGATATTGTTGCTTAAATTTTGATGACAGTGTTATTTGGCCTATGGTAATGCATTTAATAGTCTACAGGAGAAAACCGCGTTCTTGATATTATACACGGAAATACATAGATAAAACCAAAAACACAAGTAAGGAAACAATGTTAATGCTTGGGCTGTTCTGACAGAGGCGGATAAACTTTGATTCTCAGTCTCAGTGCTCGCCATTTGGTTTTTTAAGCTAAACGCACAAAGAAAGTCACAAATATCATAAATGTAAGCAAAGGGCTACAGGCGCCCAACATAAATCTGGAATGCATGTCTTAAGTAGGCAAGGATATTCCTAAATGTTTGAATCCAAACCCATTAGCTGGGGTCCAATTTGTCAAAACATCAAGGACAATACATTTTATCATTCCGAAAGTGTCATATATGAAGTCGAACAGCCTTGCATTGATGATTCGTTCCTTAGCGGAAAGGCGCAAAGCATATACTAGTAATACTGGTTGAAGTATTTTTTAAAATATTCAACATTTTAAAAAATTGTTCTGCAGACAAATACTCCATGAATGCAGCAAGTGTAATCGGCACGGGATGATTTTAACTCACGAGTCGATTATAAGTGTTTAAAACAAAAAACTGTTCAGCCTGCAATTCAGGCATGCTTACGCAATCCGCATTTTGCTCATGCTAAGAAAATGAATTATACCTCAAGAGCTTTAGGCATTTAGCACGTTGAAATAGTGCATTACTGTAGTATTCGTTGTCGTTGATATGCGACGTAGCTTTTGAAAAATTAGTGTGCTTGAAATGGCTGAAATATTTGAGATGAAAAACAACAATATAAGGATTTTATATGCATTGTATTACGCAGTATGCCGCTTGTATCGTTAACATGTTAATGACATTAATTTTGAGCATGTGATGAAATCATTATTAACCCATAAGTTAAAACCCACGTTTTTCATGATGCGCATACAAGTAAATCGCCCACGCATGTCATCGAAACAATCTTACTGGTAGGATTAATTTACCAGACGTTAATATACTTTGTTTGTTATGCACAGTCTGCACCAGTTGCTGGTTTTTAGGATGAACACACAGCGATCAATCTCCCTGCAGCGTGGCAGTCATTTGCTTACCTTGATATTCTGCCTAGAAAAAAGTAGTGCCTGCTTTATTTTGTTCCGTAAGTATTTTAATCAACATAACTTTAATTTTAAATGACGGCCTATGTTCTTTCTAATTTGAAATCGATATTAAAAAGTGACATAGTGGTCAAAGTAGTTCTGTAACCATCCCTATCCATTACGTATTTGCTTTTTGATGTAAGTTGTGATCAGAAGTAGACGTCTACTTGCTTATACCCATTGAACATCGACTGAACTTCGGAATGCAGAGAGTTGGCTTTAAACTTCAGCTCGATCTTCGGTCCTATTATGGGCGCCACTAGTTATGCCAAACACGAAAAGGGTTACATAAACCGGAAAATGGCACAATACGGACCCCGTTCACTGGAAAAGTGATGCAGGATCTATAAGTACATACAGGTATTCTTATAATACCTAGACAATCATCACACGTACTGAGGACGCAAGTAACAGCAATCATGAATGCTAGAAAAAAGAGCACTTCAATGCCTACGCTGACTGCAGAGATCATACGCAGAATACAGTAGGTGGGCTTACAAATAAAATGTCAACGAAAATTCCGAAATGCGTTTTCGTTTCGAAAAGTTTAATTAGGTTCGGTTGTAAAATTGATCATCAAGCAGCGTAATTCGAGAATAATTCAGTTACGTCCGGATGCCAGCTTTCGAACGAACTTCGCCACTTTTGCATGCAAAACTTATACTCTGTATAAAATAACTACCTATGTAGCAGGCATCTTTCTTGCTGATTTGCGATGTCCCTATATATTCAATTATCGTGTATATCATCCACCGAGGAAGACGAAGAAGAGAAATCGATTTCATGGACCAGGTTGTATTCAGACTGACGTTTCGGAAACACACTCGTTTCCATCATCAGAGTCGTGCGCTGACGTTTCCTGCTGGCCTTGATCTGTTCAGCCTTGCCGCCTGCCTCGTATTATAACCGTGCACAGCGCACGTTTGTTGACTAGCCTGCTTTCCGTTGGCTGATTGTCGCCTCCCTGATCTCAGCCATTGGTGGACTGGCGTGGCTTGTGTCCCCCTCACGCCTAACGTGGTTGCCGCGGCGTCGGCGTGCTCGTTCGCCTCCCCCTCGTCAGACGACGGGCTGATCGGTCTTTGTTTCTCAGGCGTGGTGTTTCCGGCCTCGCGAGTACGTCCGTGAGACGGTGTGCCACGCCGGTCACGTGACATTCGGTAAGCGCCTTCTCCTCTCTCCGCGAGCGTCGGCGGTCGACCCCGTGTGGCTCTGCTCATCCGTGCCATCGGCCGTGCCTGGACTGACTCGAGTCTTGCGCGGAGCGCCTGGTAGGCTGGATGTAGGTCTATGGCCCGGTTGAGTGTGCCTGTCGAGGACCAACTTTCCAGCATTAGTCTGGCCATTTTATCATTGGCTCGGCCGATCACACTTGCTTTCTCGAAGGCAAAACAGTGATTCCGCTCTAGTGTGTGGCCATACACCAACGACATCTTATCCTTGCGGTTGATTGCTAGCTGGTGCTCGTGCAATCTTGTGCCGAGGCGTTTTCCCGTTTCACCATTATACCTGACATCACAATCTTGGCATGGTATGCTGTAGACCACCGCTGATTGTTCTGTCACCGGGAGCGGGTCTTTGGGCCTCATAATTTGCTGTCTGATTGTTGATGCTGGTTTATGGGCCACACCAATTCCAAAAGGTTTCAGAATTCTTGAAGTTGCCTCTGAAACGTTCTTCAAATAGGGGATCGAGAGCCAGAACTTTGGTTTCTCCTCGTTCGACCGCCCCGAGTGGGACTTCCTGAGACACTTGCGTATGAACGACTTCGGGTAACCGTTGGCTTCAAATAGAGCACGTAAGTACATCACCTCCTTCTTCCTGTCATCGTCGTCGCTGCAGTGTGTTTGGGCGCGTTGGAAAAGGGTCCTGACACAACTGCGTTTGTGACCGACGGGGTGGTTGCTTCTGAAGTGGAGGATGCGCCTAGTGTTAGTCGCCTTACGGTAGACCGTCGTCTTTATATTTCCGTCTGCCAGTTTTGTTACTTGTACGTCGAGGAAGGGCAAGCGATTGTCGGCCTCTTCTTCCATGGTGAACTGTATGTCGGGAAATATCGAATTCAAGATTGCCTTGAAATCTTGCACGTCGCTCCTCTTTATTATGACGAATGTGTCGTCGACATATCTGGCCCAGAACTTCGGAGGGTACGAGCTGAATACCAGACGCTCCAGCCTCTGCAAAACCGCTTCGGCAATTAGTCCGGACAGAGGTGAACCCATTGGTGTTCCCTTTTTTTGCTCGTACACTTGGCCGTTAAATGTAAAGAAAGTCTTAAGACACAGTTCTAGGAGCTCGATGATGTGCACTCGTTTAAGCTGTTGGTCGGTCTCGTCGTATTTTTCTCGGAGAAGTCCGTCGAGAGTGTCGATGGCCAGGTCGGGCGGGATAGAAGTGAACAGTGAGACCACGTCAAATGACACCATCACCTCGTCTGTCTCCACTCTACGATGTCGGATGCGAGCCAAAAACTCCTCAGCTGACTTCACTGTCCACTCTGAGTCTTTGACGAGGAAACAAAGTCGTTGGTACAGCCACTTTGATAGGCCAAAAGTTGGTGTGCCACGTAAAGAAACGATTGGGCGGAGGGGCACTCCTGGCTTGTGTACCTTGGGAAGGCCGTAGAAGCGTGCCATCGCGGTGTCAGTGGCCTTCGCGGACAGTGCCTCTTTTCTCGTGAGGGCGCTCGCTTTCTTTAACCTACTCACCGTCTTGTTTATGTTGTTTACAAGCCTTTTGAACTCGCTCACATCCGAAAGCTCGTCAGATTCTTGGTTCATCAGCAGGTTCTCCAGTTTAGTCGAGTATTCGGTCTTATCCATGACGACTGTCGAGCGTCCCTTGTCAGCAGGCAGGGTGACAATATTCTTCATTTTTCGTAAACCGGAAAGTTCTCGATCTTCTGCTTCGGAAATCGTCATTTGGGATTTGTGCTGGAGAAGTAAAGACGACACCTGTTGCCTCATGGCGTGTTTGCGTTCTTCATCTGCCTCGCACTTCTGGAGCGCTGATTCGAAGGATGCGATGAAGTCTTCTGGTGGAGCATCTTTCGTGCTGAACCTAGTGTCATAGGATAGGACCGTTAACTGTTGTTGCGTGAGACAATGGGAGGACAGGTTGTGGACCAACATCCCATCAGAGGAGGGCTGTTTCGGCGGACTTATTTTGCTGAATTTTTTTAACAGTTGATCATCGCGTAACTTTCGGTGACGCTGTGCCCCATTGAGGATTGCCGCCCTCAAGGTTTCCAGCTCGTACACCGTCAAAGTCGACTGGCAAGTTGATAAATGTTGTTCCATCACTTGGCGGTATTTGCGAATACGAAAGTGGCAGTCTTGTATCAGTATTCTAATCATCGTCTTTTTGAAGTGTTCCATCGTCCGCTGGCATAGGTCGGTGTTCACAGGCGGTCTGTATCTGAGGCATTTAGGTAAGACATTCTCGTCAAGGCACCGGTGCAGGAATTTAAGCTGAGCGTAGGTGGATGACTCTCGCTTCGCAAAGGTCATATATAACAATATTCATTCTTTTACTCATTCGGTAGAAAATTGTGCTTTTTTCGATTTTATACTTGGGGAAAGAGAATAATTAAGTTTTAAAAAAGTTTGTTATTTTGTGTTTTTTTTAAACCATGATATGGCCGTTTGTAAAACGTCATGTTTCTGCGTTTACCAATGTGGCATGCAAAGTTAACAGTATGGTTCAAATGCACTGCTAAATTGTATGAACCGCATATGGTCCTCTTTTAATAACATGAAGATATTTATGGTTACAAGTACGCAGAATATAGATGACTTGCAGTTTGTAAACCTTGAATGCAGGTGTAACGACAGATCCGGTCCAAAGTTATTTGGGAATTATAAATGTTCTTAAAAACTGAGTTATACCCGTTCCCCGAGTATAGAAGTGGAAGACAACGTAATTTTGAACCGAATGAGCAAAAGACTAAATATTGCCATGCATGTTTTCTATGAAATATAATTGAATATTTAGGGGCATTGAAAACCAGTAAGAAAAATTCATGCTTATTAAGAAGCCATTTTATACAGAGTATAGTTTTTGCATGCAAACGGAGAGAATTTAGTTCGAAAACTGACATCCGGAGATAACTGACTTATAACCAAATTATGCTGCCTGCTAATTAATTTTTACAATCCTACCGAATTAATCTTTTCTAACCGAAAACGCATATCGGTAATTTCGGTTGACATTTTATGAGTGAATCCACCTACTGTATCTTACGTGTAAATGAGCACCTTCATTACCTGCTTGCTAACGTGCACTGTTGGCATGTTAAAAGACTAACAATTATTTTAGAAAGCAAAATATGCCCTGGAGATCAATGCGACTTTCATATTTCTGAGATTGCCGAGCATCTCATCAAACGCGTCTCCTACTTTGCTGTGTTAGGTGAAATTGTGGACTACCAGAACTGTTCGTACAACATCACCTTGAAAGGAAGAATCTGGGTTAAGGTTTGTTTTCAAATGTCAAATTCGACTTGCAAAACGTGTGATACGTATTTCTGCAAAATTGTTTGTGATAGAGCCCTGATTTCAATGAATGAGGTAATTGAATTTCCTATTGCGAGTGCATTACTAACTTTCTTTAGGAAAAAAAAATTCATTTGCCCAAAGGCAGATTCCGCTTCACGTAACCCTCAAAATTTCCAACTGGAAGACAGAACGATATGGTTCAAATATTGTTGGAATTTCGAGAGTTAAGTTTCCTGACATACTGACCCTCATCACTGTGTCGCCATGGTCCTGTCCGGCCAGTTATCCTGGACTCACTTCAAGGAGAACCATGAAGCAAATCCACATGATTCAGAATCCAGTATACGGAAAGTCAGTTCATTGTAAAGTTGACCGGCAATTTTTAATGCAGGGTGGGAATCCATATTTTAAACCCTAAATTTTATGTATTACTTTGGCGAGCAATATTGATTTGGCAATGTCGGTCAATAACCCAAAAGATGATAACCTTTTGCAATTTAATGAGGCACTCTTAACCTGGTTATACCGTCAACTAGGATATTATGTTACTGCGCAATATTGCAAACCCACTCACTAACCGGCAAAAACGAATTAATCAGCTGAGTTCAAAACTAATCATTGTGTTATAAAATTAGTCAATACAGTATTACTTACTTTCTAAATACTAATTCGGTACGCGGGCGTTTTTAAAAACCGGGTGAACACATGTTGAATAAGACTAAAATAACTGGGATTTTTAGATACTTAGAGTGACAGCCATCTGTTGTCCTGCCGAAGAGATAGAACGACTACTTACACTTGACTTGCCTAATGTCTTCTTCCATATTCTACCAGAAATAGTTAATGCGCAGACGACTCTCCGCATATTTCCACATATACAGTTAAGATCAGCCGAAATGCTTACAGTTAAAGGCAAAACGACTAAAATACTTTGAAATTTCAAGTTGGCAAACACGTGTTTTCGATAATTCTTCGTCAGGCCGAACATGAAGGTTTGCAGATGTACAAAATTAACAGTATTTATAGCTGTCGCAAGGGCTATTAAGTCATTAAAATTCATCTTCTCCACGCCGCTCGCATGACGAGGTCGGCTGGTTTTGGTACTTAAAACTAGGGGAGAGGGGTAAGAGAGTCTTTAATTGATGTTCTTGGAATGAGCACACGGAGTACTCATCAATGTAATTAGGGATGTGAGGCGGGATGTCCTCAACACTTGAGGTTCGCGTCCGCCAGCGCAGTGAGAACACTTTTTGCATGGTTTTCCGAAAGCATAACATAAGATTCGTTAGCCGTATAGCCATTGCCTCGGCCGTTGCTAGTATCCGTCGGCGTAGGTCTTTCGAAAAGCTTGTTGGTGTCTGATAGATAATCTGAAATGCTTTCTTGTCGTCGACTTGGTGATCCGTACAAGAACAGAACTCGAAATGGATCGGGTTTCACTTCTGTTTAGCAAGGCGGGCATATGTTCACGCACTCTCTTTGCCAGACATCTCGTTGTATACCCAATGTATCCGGCTTCACAGGAACAAGTGAATGAATAGATGCACATTGATGTGGCCTCCAACGGTAATCAGTCTTTACCTGCTTAGTGCAAATATGTTTGCACATGCAAGATTGATTGCATGGTAAAATGTTATTGACAGGCAAAGTACATCTAATGCGCGTCTTGCATCACACGCTCATCAAAGACGTTCAGAGAGCAAGGTAAATTCTAAGTACGAGTTTCATAAATAATATGATTGCTCGATTTAACTGGTTTTCAAAGAAAAACGTGGTTTATTTTAGGTCACGAAATTATCTTTACTCTATAAAAAAATTTCATAGTTGAATAAAGTTGTCTTCATACTTTAGGAATGCATGCTCTGAAGGGGTTGCAATAACTAAAAACAGTATTTAGAAGTTTTCATCTTATTGACGTGGCAACAGCCTAGACACATCACGGCGATTAAGACAGACCGCACGAAGACATCAGCAAAAGACTAATCAGTCGTTAAAATTGACGAGTGATGGACAGACGCCTTGATGAGTAATTTGCTAATCACCACTGGGTTTTCCCAGCAAATTATCAGTACATACAGCATACGTTTCCAGGTCACCCAGCAGTTCCACGATAGGTTTAAATGACAATTTTCTCCGAAAAATGCTGAATTATTCAAATTGCTAAGTAGGAGAAATACCGTCGCCCACTCTTCCGTCAATCAGTCCTTCTTTGCGATAAGAATAATGCACAATTACTAAACTAGTTTCTTTGTTATTTGTCATGGTTTGGTACTATAAAGAAAATTACACATTTGCGGAGATAGAGAATTGCGTTAGAACAGTTTACGCTGGCCAAACGTTAGCTTTTAAGTATGTAATGAATCTGTCGCGTAATGCCTTATTTGACATGACTGGTCCTAGAATGCTCTCCTCATCCACGTTAATGAGGATGATTTAATAACGCTGTGATGTCCTCACAAAGCGTTTTCTCTCTATGAGAAGCATGCTTGATGTTTAGATCTATGTATTTTTCAAAAACCATTTGACTTATGGAAAACAACCTTCAGGACGCGAGCTCAAAACGGTTTTGCAAAAAAAGATGGCATACGCAGCAAGCGCTTACAAACGTCCTTGACGAAGGAGTCATTATAAGTGTGCCATCATAACGTCTGCATTATTAATCACAAAAGTCTATCAAAAAACGACCAAATTAAAGTGATGATCTTAACCAGAAATGAAATCTTTTACTCCAAACGTACGCTAACTATTTTTCCCTCACGCGCTTGTCACTGAACATTACACCCAATCTCGAGATGCATACGCAACGTCTAATTTAGACCACTTAAAAGATCTGGTAACTTATAAATGGTGAAGTGATTTCATTATTCGTTCACTTGCCTTGCGATCAATTCATTGACGATGTACACCAATTAACCGAAATTTGCTTTTCGGTAGTCTTCCGACATGGCTTACATGCCTAAAATGGAGGCACCGCTTTCTGCCTACGGAATGCTTAAATTAAGTGACAAACACTTAACACGCTTCAAAAGCAATAACGTGTATCATTTTAGATTTTCTGACAAAGGGCACTCTAGTTGCTGAGTATCGCGAAGATAGTGTAGAAGTATATTTGCCTTCCCTAGGATAGAGATACACGCGGAAATTGAGTAAACAATACATCAAATCTGCACATATGCCTTTGAGACGGGATTAAGAAGAGAAATGTTCTTGAGGGCAGTGCAGCAGTTTTGATAATAACACTTTATTGTATTCAAATTAATTTGGACACATAAATACATGCACGCTGCATGCCGGTTTTAAAAATCATGAACGATAAGCTCTCATGTTGAATAATCCCTACGTGCCACTCGGAAGTCATGCATAAATATATACCCTCTCCCCAAATAGTTCGGATCACGGGAAATATACGTGTGCATACATCATCATTCCCATTATAATGCGGTACGTTGTAACTGTGGTAATCTGATTTCAGTGAATACAATGCGATATATTATAATAAACAAAAGGCCAATAATAATGACGAGTTTCCTTTGGAAGAACTTTAAACATGTTCTGTTTGTTAGGAAGAAATCAATTTCGTCGGTCTTATGAACAGGGCCCCACCTAGCTGCTTAGAACACAAAACAGCATTAAAAATTTAGTCGGTAGACGTGCGCTGGCAGTCAGTGCATTCCAGTCCAGAAACACTGTATATTTTCATTGTCTGCATATAATGTCTACGTAATCAATACATAATTCAGGTAATGAAAATACCTCATCTCCCAAATGAGAGAGCGAGTATCGGCGTAATGTAGGTGGGTTAA